GGGTGGTTGCAGTAGGTGTAAGAGAGCACCTGAACCAGTTAGGGAAACCCTTAAGGTGTATCAGCTTAACGTACCTCCAAAGGTTGGTGAAAAAGAAACAATAAATGCTGATAAAGTAAATGGGGGAAAGGCAAAAAACAATGGTGTTGTACTTGCATTAACACAAGAAGTCTGACAAAGAAGATGCATAATCTGGAAGGCCTTGTAAGGGGGTGACAGATTGGACATCATAAGCATCACAGAGACATGGTGAATTAATCCAATCAATGGTTTACATATCTAGAAGGGTATAAACTGTTTAGGAGGGATCGTATTGGGAGAAGAGGAGGTGATGTGGCACTGTATATAAGCTCCATTAGTGAGACACATAAGAGAGGATCTAAAAAACGAAAGGGCAGATACAGAATCACTTTGGGTAGAATTAAAGGATGGTAACAGAGGGAAGATATTACTGGGGGTTTGCTATAGATCCCAAAGCCAGGGTGAAAGCCTTGATCTGGAACTTTGGGATGAGATAAGGAAGGCCACTAGTAAGGGACCAACCATAGTAGTTGGAGACTTTAACTTACCTGAAATTGATTGGGATAATAATATGTCTACTGATGATAGGGAAGGGGTTTCTAGAGTTAAAGGAAGACTGTTTTCTGACACAATTTGTGAAAGAGCCAACAAGGCGAGATAGCATCTTCGATTTGATAATGAGTAATAGGGAAAACCAACATAAAGGTGGAGAAGCATTAAGCAACAGCGAACACATTGCAGTCACGTTTGACATCACAAGAATTGGTGAGATTATAAAAATCCAAACAAACTGCCAAATTTTAAGAAGACTGACTTTGTGCGCTTACAAAGTCCAGTCGGAGTGGGCCTGGCAGCTTATATATGGCAATGGGAGTGGAGGATCTATGGACTTCCTTCAAGGAGGTGATTATGAAGACAACGGAACAATATGTACCCATGTGAAGCAAAAGTACCAAGCTTAAGGGCATTCCTGCCTGGTTGGATGGGGCTACAGGAGGAAAAGAGAAAAAAAAAGGCTTTTAAGGCTGTGAAGGAAAATAGCACAGAATTAAGTCAGATTCCATACCAGAAGGCATGCGAGGACTGCCAAAAAAAAGTGTCAGAATGGTAAAGAAAAGCTTTGAATTGAACATGGCAAGAGATGTGAAGGATAATAACAAAACTTTTTTGTTACATTAAGAGTAAAAGAAAAACAAGCAATGGAATGGGCCACTGAAGGTGTTTTGGAGAGGACAATACAACTGATGCTGCACAGGCTAAATAAGCCTAATAACAGTGCTAATTTTTTTTTGCATCAGTCTTTATCAAAGAAGAGATGGGTAACCTATCTGATCTGGAAAGAGAACTCAAGGATGTCACAGAGAAAAGTTGCAACACTATTCATATCACTATCAGTATGATTGCCAAACAGCTGTGCAAACTTAAGGTAAGTAAATCTCAGGGGTTGGATAAATTATATCCAAGGATCCTTAAGGAACTAAGGGAAGTTGCAGAAATGCTGGCACAAATCTTTGAAAAATCACTGAATAATGGAGAGGTGCCAGAGGACTGGAGAAAGGCAGATATTACTCCTAAGAAAGGTAACAAAAGAGACCCAGGAAACTACAAGTTTGACACCCATTGTGGGTAAAATTATGAAAATCTTTATTAAGGATCAAATCATGGAGCACCTGGACAGAAATAAAATCATAAATGATAGCCAATAAGGGTTCATGAAAGGAAGGTCTTGCCAATCTAAGTTACTGGTTTTCATTGACGGTGTGACGAGAGCTTGATGGGAGTAAGGCTGTGAAGGTTGTATATCCGGATTTCAGTGAGGATTTGAACTGGATTTGATACAGTTCCTCTTGAGAGGTTGGTGCTGAAAGTAAAGAAAGAGAATCAGTGGAGATATATTACAATGGATACGCAATTGGTTGAGCAGAAGAACCCAGAGAGGTGGTACAGGGAATGTCATCAGACTGGGAAAATGTTACCAGTGGAGTTCCCAAAGAGTCTGCACAGTGGCCGAGCTTGCTGATGGTACCCAGCACAGTGGCCAAGCTTGCTGATGGTACCCAGCACAGTGGCCGAGCTTGCTGATGGTACCCAGCACAGTGGCCAGCTTGCTGATGGTACCCAGCACAGTGGCCGAGCTTGCTGATGGTACCCAGCACAGTGGCCGAGCTTGCTGATGGTACCCAGCACAGTGGCCGAGCTTGCTGATGGTACCCAGCACAGTGGCCAAGCTTGCTGATGGTACCCAGCACAGTGGCCGAGCTTGCTGATGGTACCCAGCACAGTGGCCGAGCTTGCTGATGGTACCCAGCACAGTGGCCAAGCTTGCTGATGGTACCCAGCACAGTGGCCGAGCTTGCTGATGGTACCCAGCACAGTGGCCGAGCTTGCTGATGGTACCCAGCACAGTGGCCAAGCTTGCTGATGGTACCCAGCACAGTGGCCAGCTTGCTGATGGTACCAGCACAGTGGCTGAGCTTGCTGATGGTACCCAGCACAGTGGCTGAGCTTGCTGATGGTACCCAGCACAGTGGCCGAGCTTGCTGATGGTACCCAGCACAGTGGCCGAGCTTGCTGATGGTACCCAGCACAGTGGCCGAGCTTGCTGATGGTACCCAGCACAGTGGCCGAGCTTGCTGATGGTACCCAGCACAGTGGCCGAGCTTGCTGATGGTACCCAGCACAGTGGCCGAGCTTGCTGATGGTACCCAGCACAGTGGCCGAGCTTGCTGATGGTACCCAGCACAGTGGCCGAGCTTGCTGATGGTACCCAGCACAGTGGCCGAGCTTGCTGATGGTACCCAGCACAGTGGCCGAGCTTGCTGATGGTACCCAGCACAGTGGCCGAGCTTGCTGATGGTACCCAGCACAGTGGCCGAGCTTGCTGATGGTACCCAGCACAGTGTCGGGTGTAGTGACTGTGGGTGTGTAGTGACTGTGGATGTGTAGTGACTGTGTTTGACTGGGTGTAGTGACTGTGGGTTTGACTGTCGAGTGTAGTGACTGTTTGACTGTGGTGAAGTGACTGTGGGTGTAGTGACTGTGACTGTAGTGATGTGTAGTGGCTGTAGTGGGTGTACTGATGTGTAGTGCCTATAGTGGGTGTGGTGATGTGCAGTGGGGGGAGCCAAGGGGAGGGGAGGGGGAGCCAGGGGTAGGGAGGGGGAGCCAGGGGGGGGGAGGGGGCACACACACACAGTCGCCGCACACACACACACAGTCGCCGCACACACACACACACACAGTCGCCGCACACACACACACACACACACACAGTCACACACAGCACACACACACACACACACACACACACACACACAGTCGCCGCACACACACACAGTCGCCGCACACACACACACACAGTCGCCGCACATACACACACACAGTCGCCGCACACACACACAGTCGCCGCACACACACACAACAGTCGCCGCACACACACACACAGTCGCCGCACACACACACACAGACACACACAAAGTCACCGCACACACACACAGTCGCCGCGCACACACACACAGTCGCCGCGCGCACACACACAGTGGCCGCACACACACACACAGTCTCCGCGCACACATACACACACAGTCGCCGCACACACACACACACACACACACAAAGTCGCCGCACACACACACACAGTCGCCGCGCGCACACACAGTCGCTGTGCGCACACACACACAGTCGCCGCACACACACACACACCTGGCTCCCCCTCCCCTCCCCCTGGCTCCCCGCCCCTCCCCTGGCTCCCCCCCTGGCTCCCCACACTCTCCCCCTCCCCCCCCTCCCCCTCGCTCCCCTCCCTCCCCTGGCTCCCCCCCTGGCTCCCTCCACTCCCCCCCTCCCCCCTCCCCCCTGGCTCCCCCTCCC